GTGGAACGGGTTCCGTACTCAGGCAAGCTTAGGATGGAGAACATCCTGCGGTTCGTCATCACGCACGGATCCGACGAGTCCGCGATCTCCGACACGCGGCCAAACATGAACACGTTCGGGTTGGTCAGCGGGGCAATACCTCGAGACGCTGGCATTTTTCTCCCCTGGCAAGACACGCCAAGACAAGACACGCCAAGACAAGACACGCCAAGAAACGGAGAAGCACCAGCCGGGAAGGAATGAACTTGATCCCAGGCTTTGAAATGAAAGCATTGAGCTGCACCTAAAACTAATTCATGGTTGAAACAAGGGGTGGTACAGGCTTCTATGTGGATGCAAGAGACAACCTGCAACATGTGCAACGCTTTCTTCACCCAAAGGAATCAACAAAAATGGAGCGCCATGCTGACTGACCAGTGTAAAATAGATGTGTCTATCGGCAGCCACTGGTATGCATTGCCAAGGCAAACATAAGCCACAGTCTTCAACTGGATGGGACATTGTCATTTCACTAACCTCAAAGTCCGTGCACACGTGGCAAAGATCTGACACCCTTGACTTGATTCGACCAGGCAGCAACAGCAGCCCCTACTCGCAGAGCGCGAAACGCCAATGGCCAACAGGTGCAACACACGCGTTGGCTTGCAGCAGTGCTCCAAAATATGACCATCTCTACTGGGCTGTCCTCAGATGCCCCGCTAAAAGTTTAACTTTTATTGGGTTATATGGAAATCCCCCTAAACTGTAAAAAGCTAAAAGGCTAAGGGGATGGCTGGGAGCCACCAACCACTGAGCTCAACGCAGCAGGTGAGCGCGTGTTTTCACCACAGGGCAAGGCCTCTGACATCAAAATGCGCTGACCATGTTCTGATGGGCAGCACCTTGCTTCTTCGTGTCTGTGCTCCACCCAGTCGCAGAATCAGGGTCACTAGGTCACTAGGACAACGCGTGCGGCAGCATGATGGTTCCAATGATGTTTGTTCAGAAAGGGTCCAACAAATCCAAGGCTGGCAATGGATGGCATACCAAAAAGTGTTCGGCCAGACTCTTGTTGAAACAGGCTTGAATAACGTTCTTTAACGGACCCAGCCTGTGGAAAAAGACACACATATCCAGCCAATAGGCCGGAATCCCAATGTCAATTGATTCGGCGCCAGGGCTCGGCAAACAAAAAAGAATCGATCAGCCCCCTGGCCCCATTTTGAGGGACACCAACAAGAGGCTGGTGTGCCTCAAAATGATCCCTTTGATGGTAGTGAAAGGGACACCATCCCCAAAAGTGACGCCACCCCCAAGATCATGTTGCAAACCCTCAACATGTTCAGTTTCTCGAACCCAGATGGCCATGGTCACATGCAAATCGTACCCCCAGAATCCGATTCCACCAAGAACCCTGCTCGAACAGCAGCCATCTTTTTCTGTTCGAAGATCCGGCAATATTACTATGAATCTGTCTGTTTTTAGGGCCACCCCCCAAACTGGTTGGTGTTCCTTTTGGTTTCCCTTTCAACCAACCCCAAAAAGGGTGCCCTCAAAAACACGCGCCCATAGGCTTGATTTCGCCGTGTTTTGTGTTTGTTATCTTCGCGTATCCCAACGCTTCCAGCTATCACGTATGGCACCAAAGGAATCCATCATAACTGGCGACCTATAGTGGCATTTGGGCATGTTGCTGGGGGTTGATTCCTTTTCCATTCTTTTCAACCATCCTTCTTTTCAAAAACCGGATCCGTTTTCCCTGGGATTCCGGAGGTTTTCCAAGAAGCATCCCTGGAAAGAATGGAAAAGGAAGGTACCCCTGGGACGTTGCCCAACAAAAACCGGGGTTTTGCCCTTTGACTACTTGGGGTTTCCACCTTTGAGGAACAAAAGCCAACCTCCGGCAGAATCAAGCGATGCCCAACATGAAAACGGCTGAGGGACTGTATCGATATGCCATTTGCTACCCTCTTCCCAGAGAACCCAAGTAGCGCCAACCCAGTTCAGTTGCCAAACGAAACCAGCCAAAAGACTGTTGTATTTTTTACCTTCTGGCTTTACACCTGGTTTCCAAAGACTTCTGGCCTGGCGCACTGGCGCACTGAGCCCTCCCGTTTTCCGTCCATGGTCGCGCCACATCCGACCCAATCGACCCGAGGAAATCGACCCGATCCGAGGCGCCCAAGAAGGCCATGCCCATGCCGCCGGCCATGCCGATGGCGCCGTGCAGAATGGCGCCCTGCGCCACCTGGGCCTCCGCCTTCAACGGCCTCAGACCGAAAACGCCGCGGCGGTTTGGAGAGACACACCCAGCGCGCGGCTAAAAGACGCGCGCACATTTCGCCGGAAATGGGTTGGGCGGTTGGGGCGATCTTGCGGATTTTGGGAAGATCACCGAAGGGGTCCAACTTCCTTTTCAACCCAAAGAGGGGGGAACCAGCCCTGAAACTGGGAGGTCGGAAGGCAAAACCGAGGTCAGACCGACCACATGTCGAGGTGCTTGGCTCGGAAGAGAACCCGAGGCCCCTTGGGCTGCTCAACCTCGCTCGGCTGCTCTGCATCACAGAAGTGCCGACGCCTAAGCCACCGGCGAACCGTGCAGGGGCGCTATGAAACCCGATACAGCCTCCCTTCAGCGTACCCGAACTAGATACGGGAGCATCTCTTTGTTGACGTGCCATTTTGGCGTTTGGTTTTAAAGGGAAGCCAAAGGAAAGCCACCCATTTTGCGGGGGCCCCTTCAACAAGGCAAAACCCACATGGCCTTACTTTGCCGCAAGCGACGATACCTCTATGGTGTCATTCTTGTTGTCAGCGGGCTAATGTTTGACCTCATTCAGCGGGGGGAGCAGGGATAGGTTGACACATGCCCTGCACACCCCACGCGGAAATCCCAAGTTATATCCCAAACCTGCAGTGGAGTTCATGGGCAAAAATCGGGGCGCCCGTTCGTTTTTCGTTGGTAGCTGGCTTCTCAGGGACCCCCCCCTTCAAACACAAGTTGAAACAAAGGCAAACGCAACTGGAACGGGTTGTGCACTGGGTTCTTCAACTTGATTAGGGCCCCACCACCCCATACTCTGCGTTTTTCTCCGCTCACGTATATTGTGAATATTCATCGTGTCGCCCCATAGCATCGCTTTTGATGAGTTCACGTCAAACTTGAGGGCTCTTCCGGGGCAAGAGGCACAGCTTGCCAGAACAAGCGCGGCCTTTTGGAAGTGCCCAGAGTAAGTAAGGGTAGAAGGGTTAACCACCTGTTTTCCAACATATTGAGCCTGCCCAATGTCATCTGTCACCCCCTCGACTGCAGCAAATGAACGCAGCCAAGGTGCAGCGGCACGACGAGTTCTGCGCGCCGACCGCGCGAAGGAGGGGCGTGCAGTATGCATCTCCGGAGATTGTGCCTCACCTCGGGAGTGAGACGCTACCCCCTACTCCAAATACACACTTTTTCCAGGGTATTTGCTGGAAAAACCTTGATTTCAATTGTAAATACCTCCTTTTTTAGTAGAGGGTCGACATCATACCCTAAAACAGAGGGTATTTGGAGTAGGGGGTATGGTCAGCCCATTTGGTCAGCAAAATTTGGTCAGCCCATTTGGTCAGCCCGTTTGGGAAGTAAGATGGCTATACATCCAGCACTCCCTCTCCCATAGTGTGCCGCTTTGACAGATGAAACCCCAAAAACAATGGGATGGACCCTTTTACCACCTGGTACAGAACTTCGTCCACCCACAGTGACCATGGAGTTGTCGATTGAACATCCAATCTCGGTTGCTTTCTGCTCCCCTGCTAAAAGTTTAACTTTTAGTGGTTTAATACGGAAAACCCATTAGTTGGCAAAAAGTTAAAGTCCTAACATCCCTGGGCAAAATGCACCAAAGCAATGAGTGTGCTTGCTGGGTTGGAACTCCTTAGGGTTGCCCAAGGGTTTCCCAAAGGGAAGTCTCGTGTTGGGCCGCGGGGGGGTCCCTTGTTTGCATTGGTTGTGACCCTCACGTCAGACAGTGATGGGGATTTGCTCCGGGTGTTCCTTGTTCAAATTCAGAGCCATGTGAGTGAACCCCCAAAATATCCTTGCAATTTAGGAACGTATGTCTTAATTAAGGAAAAACCGTCCCAACCTTCAGTCAGGTTCAATGATAGCGTGGTGCGAGGGCTTCATGATTGGCCCCATTTTGTGGGTGTGTGTGACAGTCGGGTTGGGGGAGAATACCGGGGTCAATGGCTGCTGCCAAGAAGCCAGCCGCGCTTGCAGCATCGGGAAGCTTCAACAGGCAAGCTTCTTTGGAACCGGCTGCTGGCGGGAATCGGCACACGTCAGCTGCCAACTGCAGTCGCTCCCTTTGCTCAAGGTCGGGCACTAGAAAGTGGCGCCCCATAAGGTTTTGATCTCCGTTGGTACAACCCCTGCGAGGCCAGGAAGTAGAACCTCGAAATTGACCAACTTGGCACAAAATTTGAACCACGGTGACTCCCATTCGACCGAATCGATCAAGGGAAACTCAAGGAAACACCGCTCTACCAGCTTCACTGTCCGGATCTTCAACAAAGCGATCATTTACTGATTCTAGATCCTGCCGTGAGTCCCTGAAACTCGGACGAGCCTCTGGGCTTGGTACTGTGAATGGACGAAATCCATTTCGCACCACTTTGAAGCCATGGTTGAAGCCATTTGTTTGTTGGTATTGACAGGGGAATCGACTCATTCTAGGACTTTTTAGGTGGTGCGAAATGGATTTCGCAACCACCCACAGTAGCAGGGTATTCTCCGGCAAATTGAGAGACCCAAACATAGGGGTCACCAAAAAAGATGAGGGATATAAGCTTGGCTGGAATTAGGACCCCAGCAAAACAATATACTTTTTGCCTGGTAGTGGAAAACAAAGGGAACCCCAAAAAAGCAAAAACATAAAAAGGAAACTATTCTGGGGAAGTAAAAACCGGCCAATTGGGAAATTATAGAAGGTTCGCCTTGACGGCTCTCTGCTTTGGAACCCTCGAAAGACCGCCCCAGCCTGCCACTCGGCCAGGAGCTTGGGCCTATGCTTTACGGCAAATTGAACCCCGGGTTTCGGACATGGCTCCAAGCACGCCATGAAGAAACCACATAAGCAGCTCACATGCGCAACTCATGTAACCCCAACAGGACATGGGGAAACACAATTCCAGGCCCGTGGCGCTGGAAAATCCGGCTCGGTGTCCAACAAAAACAAACCAACACTCGACTGCCAATGAGCCTTGTGACTCACAGACCTGGACTCAAAGAGCAGTCCATTAAGGCCCCCGCCCCCCGCCCCGAATACAGGAAAGGGGGCCTCGCAATAGATGGCTCATGATGGCTCTATTCCTTTTATCTCCATAGGGGAAGAAATTGACAAACACTAAATCAAGAGCTTGTGCCATCTAGCACCCAGGCCGCAAGACAGCTCCAAAATTCAGGGACCTTTTAAGATAAGGGGAACTCTACAAGCTCTATCCTCGATGGGCCCAAAAGGGGCCCAAGGCTTAGAAGAGCCATGCAAGCTTCTTGGCTTCCCATCTAAACTTCCGCTAACAAATATCGTGAAACCAACATTAAAACAATTATATATATAACCGCCATTGTTCACTAAATATTTGTCATCATCTGAATAACAAGTCTTTCAATGGGGGTTGAACCCTGGGGAATATTTTCAGTGATTGCCTTTTCCACCTTAAGGCAACAAGGTAAAACATCTCCCTGAAAAACGAAAAAGAACAACAAACAAACATCGTACAAGCTCCACGACACCATAATAAGGGGGAGGAATCTCCTTTCCACTTCCAAACAACCAAACAACTACGAACCTGAACAACATGACAGTCGCCCTCATGATAAGCCCGAGATTCGACGGATGAGCTGGCCTGAAACTGTTTTACCGCGACTGTTCATGCCCCTTGCCAGTCTTGGTTGACGTTGGAAGGGGAGCAACAAAAAATATGTTTTAGCAGTTAAGTGGTTGGATTTCAACCACTAAACCACAATCAGCAAAAATAAGCAAAATGTGTGTCCCAACAACAACCATGTCTTCGTCTTTTCCCACAAATGGCTGTGGCTATATATTTTTTCCCGAGCCAGGGGTCTTACCCATTTCACCAGTTCGCGTGTTCTCAAATACCAAGCGCCTGCCGAGGCCCAGCAACGACGAAGGCCTCCTGGGCAGAGGAGGTTCATCCAAGCGGAAAGTCCTCCAGTGGAGAGGTTAGAATAAGTTGGTACCCACTTTTTTTCGGATTCGTCTATTTTAGTAGGGGGACCCTTCCCCAAAAAAGAAATGGTAAAAGGGCACCTAGCTGGGGGACCTAGCGAGTGTCCAATCCCAGTCTGGCAGGCTTGGGCCAAGCCCTAGCAAAGATCAGCGGCCAACTGGTCCAAAGCGAAAACAGTGCCCCCAACTCTACTGAGAAGCACATGTGACGCTTATTTCCGAAGATACATCGACTGCATGATCGCACTTTGCAAAGCGAAAAGGCGTGCTGATCCATCATCCTGCGTCTGGGCCATACTTGGGGATGGCCCTCCCAGTTCTCCCGTGGCCCTCGAAAAAAAACAAAACACTGAAGTTGCCCACGTCAGAGTCAGAGGCCAAAACAACAAAAAAAACAGCACCAGTGGCACCCGCCAGCACCCACCAGTGATGGCTGACGCTCGGCAGTGCGCCTGGCCAGCTGGCAGAGCAAGGCTCCTGGCCGGGGCCGATCTCAAGTCTTTCAATAACTCGAAGTGGAGGAAGACGACAGTACTCCAAGGATACCTTCCATTTCCATTCTTTCCATCCTTCTTTCCGGAAAACCTCCGGAAACCCAGGGAAAACGACTGTTGATTGGAAAGAAGAAGAACATGAACCACATGCGGGATATGTCATGAACCCCTCCAAACTCAAACATCTATGCAAAACAGAAGCGTTCTAAGGGTTTGGTGGGAACAACTCAATACATAGAGTCTTGAAAAGGAGAGAGTCTCAAGCTATGGCTGGGAACTGCCACCAAACGCAGAGAAAAAAGGACCTGTTTACAACATCCTCTACCTGCAAAGCTACTCTCTCCCAGCATGGCTTGGTTTGGCTCTCCGTGCACGGGAAGCCTTCCAAAAGGAAAGAAAGCCTTGGTCCAAAAGGGTTCGGTGTGTCTTTTGTTTTGTCGGTACCTCCTTTCTTTTTGTTGGTTTTTGCAAGGACACCAAAGGGACAATCACCTTGCTGTTGTTTTTTTCGTTTTTGTGTGTGTGTGTGTGTTTTTTTTTGGGGGGGGTCCCCTGAAAAAACACACACACACTCACATCTGATTCGCTTTATTCTTACGAGCTATTTTAAACATCAAACAAGTAATGCCCGAAGGGTGGGTTTTAGCCTGGACTGGCCTTCAGCTTAAAACAAGACACGATTGACATCCAGCTGGACCAGGCGCATCTAGGTGCTTAAGTAATTAGAGAGGGTAGAATAAGTTGGTACCCACTTTTTTCGGTTTCATCTATTTTAGTACGGGAACCCCTCCCCAAAAAAAGGAAAAAGGGCACTACTGAGGGACCTAGGCATGAGTCCCAGAAGGCCAACACTCTAAAACGTCCGAAGCGGTGCGAAATGCGATCCTGGCAGCCATGGCTCGTCCCTTTCTCCGGCCCGAAATCAGGCTGTGACTTGAAGGCTGCGCAGTGACTCGACTTGAATCCAACCAGACGTCGCGGCTCATGTTTGTCCAAACACCACTAAGGGAAAAGGTCCAAAGGGATGGTTTGCCTCCCCCCCCTGAAAGCGTTGTCGGTGACATGTCCCACTAAAATGGCTTTGGCGTTTTGAGGATCCCCGTTGTGCTTTTGAAGGGATTCCAACGACAACGGGACAACGGGTTCCAATTTTGGAGTCCCAATTTTGGGGTCCAAATCGATCGGGGCTCTTTTTTTTCGAGCGCGGGCCCTGCGCAAATGGACTGCCGTGCCGCAACACGGCAACTAAACGAGGAAGGCATGGCGTGCCCTTCTGTGTTTTCCACTTGCACGCTGCACAGGTCAGTCGTTCAACAAAGCTTTCTGTCTTCCCTTTATTATCATCAGCTACAGGCAGAATCAAAGCATGGCGTTGTCAAGTACTTTGCCAGCAAGTCCAGAAATCTCTTACCAAACAGGTCGAGGTCGAGACAGGCTGACCGTCTGCTAGCCCCCCACCTCTCCTGGGATGGTCATTGGATCCCGCTGCAAGGTTTGTGACTGGGGCTGACTCCTACCATCTTTCCACAGGGGCCCTTTGCCAAAGGATGAGAACGTCTTTCAAACGCTACGTCCATACTTGTCGGAAAGAGATGGCATCGCCCGTCCAGCTGTGCTTTTTTTCTCGGCATCTGCCAGTCCGCCATCGTCCGCAAATCCATCGGGCGAACGGAACCGAGGAGCTTGAAAGCTTGACAGGGTGGGGGAGGCAACTTCCCAGCGCACACGGCCGTTGAACCCCAGTGCATCAACTCACGTCGGAAAGACATTTAAAACACTTTGGCGCTAAATGATAACATGGTCTATCCAAAAACTATGAAGTCAAGGAATGTCAGGCCCCAACTTTGCCCCACCCTGGGCGGATCAGCGTCTTGAAACTGCACGAATCCAAATCGATGACGGCCGTTGAAACGACTCGGCCGGTGCGATGTCGCAGGGACTGGACGTGGGTGCCTTGCAGAAAACCAAAAACAAGCGGAGCTTCACTTTTCAAGGCAAAACACAAAAAACGTGCACACCCGGCAGCTCCCTCCGGAACACCGCAACTCGCATTCCTCTTTGCAAGCCACAGGGGCCTCTTCCCAAATAACATTCGCGAAGACAAAGGTCGCTGCCAATCTTGTCAGGACTGTGCCTCAGCTTTCCGCTTGGCACTTGACCACGAACAATTGCCGCCACCAGCTAGCGTTTGTCCCCCTGAAGCGACCACACTCATGAAGGAGTGGCAAAAAGCACAAGGAGGGTCAAACATGTAAGTCTTGGGGCTTTGATGAAGTTTGGTAATCCTGTGTAAGGTCCAACCGGCACCCTCCCATTTTGCTGATCCCGAAACTCAGGGACGTAGTTTAAACATGACCTTGCCGCGGGGGCCCTCCGGAGATGGCTCATCACCCATTTTGACCCAAGAGGTTGATGACCATCCCTGCGGTTGGGCCAATGCTCTTTTAGATTCTCTTCGGGGGTCGGGGTCTTTTTGTTGATACGCATTTTGCAACCAACCCAACCCAACCCAAGCCAACCCAACCAACCACCCCTGGAACCAACTCTGGTTCTTTTCTAGTGGCTGCTTCTGCCCAAAACCAAAGGAATTAAGAGGCCGGATATCCGCACGGGTCGAGACAAGCCCCGGCGGTATGCCCAAACAGCTCCGGAACCCCCTGAACCCTCCCTGAGAGCTGCTCCGAACCACTCCGAATCTTTTTTCTTGGGCAAAGACCCCAAACCTTCCAGCTCTTTGCAGAGGCAAACAATCCCACCCCCGCCCCCAAGCTGGAGGAACACCCCCGCCCCCCCAGGCTGTTTGAACAGAACACTTCCAACGCCTTGCCACCCAAAAAACTCCCTCCCCCCCCACCCCGATTATTTTGGCCCAGAACCACCCCTTCCCCCAACATCTCCCCCCCCCGAAGCGCCGCCCGCCCGCGGGCGCCGAAGTTCGGAGGCCCAAGCGGCCCTCTCGAGGGCCCGGTGCACCGCCAGCGCATGCCGCAGCTCCAGCTGCTCGGGGAAGCACTCGGGGGGATCCTCGCCTGGTCCGGGCGGTCCGGGCGGTCCGGGCGGGGTCCAGGGGGGGGGGAGGGGGGAAGGGGGGGGAGAACAAAAAACGAAGAAAAAAGCACGAGTCGGGGTTGTTCTTCCATGTTATTTTGTTTTTCCCGTTCTGTTGCGTGGTGTTTGTTGCTGTACCTTTTTGGGTCGGGTAAAAGGGGTGGGTGGGTGGGCAGTCGTTGTTTTTTTTTTTTTTTTGGGGGGGGGAGGATTCTCCATGGAAATTTGTATGAGGAAAAGTTGGGCAGTAATTGCTGTTTCAAGTAATTGTATAGTTGGTTTTTAAGGGAAAACAGCTCCACAAAAGGTGAGAAACATGGGCAGTTGTTTCTTGTTGTGTGTTGTTGATTCCTGACCCGTTGGGCTTTCTGTTGGAGGAAACCATATGCAGTCGTCGTTTTTTTGAGAGTATTGGCTGTCGTTCAAGGGGACAAACAGGCGCCACTCAAGGTTTGGAACGCTTGGTTTCCGGCTCTGTTGACAGGTAAAGGGATGACTAAACCAAAATTGGGGAATGGTGCCATCTGCTTTCACCCCACGGTCACCACATAAGATGTTATCAAACACTGAGCCAAAAAAAGAGTGTGTGTGTGTGTGGCCGATAATGACCACTGTACATTCGGGCTTGCTCACCAGGACTGATGACCTGGGACGCGTCCAAGTCCCACATTTTGTCTTGGAGTTGCCAACTGCCGAATGCCCTCGTCCAAACAGACAGCTTTTTTTCCAGCCAACCTGGCAGAAGGGTGTGCGCTTCTCTCGCGGGGGCGTTTCCCCCCTTTGGCTTGCCCTACCCCCAAAGCGACACCCTCAAAAAACAAGCTAGGCACACCAATCACAAATCCGTAGTTGCCCAGGGTGTTCCACTTGGAAACAACCCCGAGAAGCCTTCCCCAAAACAACACCCACAGCGACAAGGCGCCTGCTGCAAAGCCGAGGAACTCTTTCAGGGAGCTGCCTGCGCTTTGAGCAGAGCGGAACTTGCAAAGGTTCCCCCATGGGTGCGCAACTCTTAGCGATCCTCCCCTTGCTGAAGCAATGTTTAACCAGCAAGCCAACCAGACCTCTTGACCATGGAGAAAACATGGGAAAACATTTGTGCAATTACATATATATATATATGCATATATACATATGTATATGTATATAGTAACTCAGCCTTTACATCAATCATGGCATGTTGGGCGTTCGGTGAATGTAGTGGACCTTACAATGTAATTAGGATTCCAACATGATGTCATCCCGAGAAACAGGGAAGCAAACCTTTGGAAGACGACTTTCCCTAAGCTTTTTAACCTGTGGGAGGGTACTTGCCCTTGAGTTTGGAGCCATAAGCTCTTGAAGCCGAAAGTGAGCACACGAGTTGGTGAGCTGCCTCGAAATGCTCCAGCGGACAGTCATACAATTTTCAATTTTCTGGGCGTCAATAAAGCAAACGCTTCTGGAAGGCCGACAGCAAGCACCACATGGGCGATTCGCTCAATCCGCACCAACCATCTCCGTCTTCAGCTCTGGAAATTCGAAGGCTGCATCAAATATGCATGCCGTGTCTAACTCCCCTCTGAATGTGTCTTGCGGAAACAGCAATGATTTGGTGGGTGTCCTGTTCACTGGGTGATTGTTCAGCGTGTCACTGTGAATGGCGAACCTATACTATCTTACCAACCAACCACCAACCAATCCCTAAGAAAGGAACTAACAGCTAAAAGCACTCTCAAACCAAATTCATCAAAAAAACGCAGGAGATTCAGGAAGGCAGCCCATTGCCACCAAAATTGACTTTTCCTGAATTTCCTGGTTGTTCTTTTGACACATCCGCGTTTCGCAAAACGGACCCAGCGAGATCTGTCTGGCCGCGGTCTGATTGGCCCTCACAATTCCAGCCTGGCGGGAATCTGTCTACCACCAACCTCGGCAAGGATGAAACGGACGCAGCACAGGTGCCAACTGTGGGGAAGTAGAGGAGGGTCAGAATTGCAACCTGGTATCTCTGCTGGATATTGGATGGCTTATTAGTATAATCGGCATGGGGAATGTGAAGCTCCATGCATGTGGCAAAAGGAGCAGAACCTGACTAGATGCCCCCTGAAGCAGGTTTTTCGAGGGACCTTCTGTGGTTTCCGTGTCACTTGGTGGCATTGTGTCCAACCCGCAGAGGAAAAGAAACGGAGAGGACCCACTATGCAATTCAGGCCAGAAGCTCACTTCAGCCGCTTGTTTGCAGCAGGAAGAGAGGCAATTCTGTGAAAAGTGTTGCTTCGGATTCAAGGGGGTTCCTCAATATCACGAAGCAGTTCCCTACTTGGGGAGGGTAACCAATCCGAGGAGCGCCTGAGTTGAACTTTTGCAACTACGAAACCTTGGAATTGATCGTCGAAGCAGCATGAAGGCGCTACGCACACCCCATTCAAGCTTGAGCTTGAAATGCACTCGGTCAACATAATCCAGTAGTCTATGTTTCAGTCAAAGAAGGAACGTGGGGGACTCCATAAATGTCCGTTGGAAATCAAGGACTCACTAATTGCCCCACGGAAACAGCATACTTTGACGGTGGCATCTATGGGTTAATGGACATGACAAATTTGTTGAAACCACCATCTTGGCCGAAGGGCACAAGCCGCAAACAAATGGGTTCTTTTTCGAGGGTACTCTGTTCGCTTTACCCCCAGGTGAGTCAAAGGGACCAAACTCGGAAAGCAAGTCGGAGCCACTTGATACTCAGTTGCCCAAAGGACCCGGTAAAAACAGGTTAGCCTGTTGGGACCTCGACTAAAAAAGACCAAAATGGGCGAGCCAAAAGGTAAAAAGGTCGATGCGCTTTGGGCAACGTGGATGACTTGGGGTTTTCGGTCCCACGGAAGGTCCGTTTCAGGGAGCCCCAGAAAAGACCCCGCCTAGGTTCTTGAGTAGAGAGGCTAGAATAGGGGTACCTGGAGTCTCCATGATTCTGACAAAATTTGTCCATGACCCCATTTTTTAGGGTAATGACCCCAGGTTTAAAGGGTCATGGACACTCTAGGTACCCCTTTTTTTTTCTGTAGTCGCTTTACCTTCCCAACCAAAAAAGTTGGGTGAGAAAGGGCACTTAGCTGGGGGACCTAGCGCCGCAGACCCTCTCTCCACCGCTGCGAGTTGCTGCTCTGCCAGCAGATCGTGCAGCACCGGCAGCCACTCTGCCAGCTCCTGACGGACCGACACCGCCCGACAGATCTTTCAGGTGCCCAGTTGAGTCAGAATCAAAACCTGGTCCCCTTACTAACCTTCATTTACCCGTGTTTTGATTGTGACTCAGTTTGGACCCAGAAATCAGGGGCTAACCCTTTTTCGGGGCCGCCACAAAAAGGACCAAAATTGGAAAACCGAAATAGTGAATCTGGTCGATTCGCTTACAACAGGCCATGGGAAATACCGCCTTCGATTTCTTCCCGACTCCCCCCTTGAGTGCCACTCAGTTGGGCCAGAAGCGATGCAACCAGGGGGAAGAAGAGGGCAAAGAAAGGATTGACCGCAGAAGACTCATGTGGGCGCAGGATGTGAAGTACTGTCATTTTGGTTCAATGCCATTGCAATTCCCGGCAGTGGATACCTTCAAGATCCTCCCGTAGAGAGGTTAGAATAAGGGTACCTTTTTTTCTGTACTCTATTGTAGTAGGGAAACCCTCCCCCAAAAAAGGGGTGAGAACGGGCACTACGGGGACCTAGCCTTTAAACCCCTTTCCTGACCTGCCAAAGGCCGTTGCGAAAAAACACGTGAGTTGGGCGTCTCTCAATTTTTGGAGACCTCCTGCGGGTTCGGGTGCGTCTCTTTTCCAAGCTCGGGTATCCCTTTCGCTTTGTGCGGGCACCAAAAAGGGAATTCCGGGTTGGGCCACTGTCTGCGAAGACCACATCTCCTTCGAAGTGGCAAAGTTGTCATGGGAATGACTCGTTGGGTGTGACTTTTCCTTCTTCCATTTGCTTGAGAATATGTTTTATTTTCCCCTCTTGGGTTTAAAGGGAATCTATCACTACTGAAACATTTTTATTTTTCCCAGTAGTCTTAAGCAAATGGAGGTATTGGGTTCCCTTTGGTGGGCATTGTTGGGGATGCATGCCCACCCACCACCTTTCGAGATGGCTCCCTATCAACAACCATATAGAAGATAATATGTTCTGATTCTGTTCCGTATTGGGTATTGGGTCTACCTAAAATATGAAAACAGATTGGACGAGACCCCAAATTGGGTATCACGGTATCACAAATCTAGGTCTCCTTTTGAAAAAAAAGATGGCGCTAGAAAACATGATCGGAGCCAACCTGCAACCACTGCCATCTTCATCCAAACTAAGCCATCCAAAGGCCACTCTGGATGCAAGGTCCTCCAGTAGAGAGGTTAGAATAAGGCTACCAACTGTTTTTCAGTTTCGTCTATTTTAGGGTTCGGAACCGAATCTCCCAACCAAAAAAGACACGGTAAAAGAAACAGAGCTCCCTAAATTTCCCCAAAAAACATCACCCACATCAAGGGACACTCACCTTTCACGGGCCAACAAGGTGATGTTTAAAATCGCCAAAAAGGCAAATAACTCGGGAGCCCTGAGAAAGGGCGCCAATTGCTGGGGGACTCCACCCCTTCCTCTGCCGACTTCTGGAGCTCAGCCAGCAGCTCGTCTTCCAAGGGCTCCTGCGGCGAAATTATTCCATTTGGACGCGGTTTTGCTGGACCAAAATGAGCAAATGTGTCCAGTGAAATCGAGTCTCATTAAAACCAACAAGGGGAAAGCACATATTCCTTCCAGAAAATGGAAGTAAACAGTACCCCGGTCGGTTTTTTGGGGGGATAAGATTCTGTGGATGCACCAAATCCATTTGGCTGTGGTTGTCAAAAATAGGGTAACCCCCAAATGGGTTGCCCTAGTAAGTGGAAACATAAAAAAAAAACCTGCGGTCCCCTGGGGTTTAATTTTGACCCCTACCCATTTCGCACCACGAAATGAAACCATGGGAAACCAGTGTTTGTTGGTATTTACAGGGGAATCATCAGAAACCAGGGTTTCTTAGGTGGTGCAGGATTTCGTCCATCCACAGTATGTCCAGTAGTGTCATCGTTTCCTTTTATAATCAAGAAGGAATAAAATAAAAAAAACTTTCAGAAAATGGAAGTAAACAGTACCCGGGTTGGCGTGCGTGAAACCGCCCACCTTTAGATTCATCTCCTTTTGAAAACTGGCTTTGAAGATACCAGTTTTAGGGTGTCACCAAACAGAAATACCTAAAACCCCAACATTGGGACCTAACCTCTTGTGAATATTTGTCAAATGCGGCTCCTTCCAAACCAACCTTCAAATGTGAAGCCGGCGTACCTCCAAAAACAAGCACACACACACATCGATGTGGGTTTGTGGCTTTATTGAGGGTCCCACTCTTTTAGTGGGGTTTAAAGGAGAACCAAACCTTAAAAAAGGCCCACACTTCGGAGCCCTGGGATCCCTGTCAGACCCGCGAAATCTCTCCTGGTATGCCAAGGCTACGCCAGCCAGGGCATCCCCCGCATCGTTGGACCGCACCAGCTCCATATACCTCAAGTTGCAACAAGCCGAATCGCGACGTCGGCCGCGGCTTGAGGGTGCCACGTGTTACAATTTGGGCGAAATACCAGCTTCCCTTCATGGGTGAGCTAGTTCGACTTTTGGGTGTAAGCTAGGGTGTAATTTGTGCTGATCTCGCTCTTCAGGTTGGACCATAGATAGTCGTGGTACCAGTATTTAAAGTGGTACCCTGTTTTTGTCGTGGTTCTTTACATTGACGCCAAAAGGAAACATTGTTGTTGTTTTTTTTTTTGGGTGGGGGGGGGGCTTCCTCAAACGATGACAAACCCATGGAACGTAGCAGGCAGGGAACCAACAAAAACCCATGGAAGGCCACCAAGGGAACTCTTCACCTACTGGGTGGGATGGTCTTTTGAATGACCTGAAGGCCCTCAAAAGAGCCCCCGCAAAGGGTGGTCGACTTTTTTGTTTTGCTCAGAGGGGGGGGGTGGCGTGGGGTGGGATAAGAAGGTGATGGGATTTCGGGATAAGGCTCACATCTTATCCAGAAGGCCAAGGTCCTCCAGTAGAGAGGTTAGCATAAGGGTACCCTTTTTTCTGTAGTCTATTTTAGTAGGGGAACCCCCCCCCCCAAAAAAAAAAGATGGTAAAAGGGCACTACTGGGGGGGCCTAGAGAAAAACAAAAAAAGCGACCAATGAGCCGCTCACCTACCTGCACCGAAGCCACCTGGAGGAGCCACCCTCCTGGACCCAGCTCCCACCCTCGCCCATCGAGTGCGTCCGACGCGTCGACTCGTGGAGGCCGAGGCGCAGGTCCTGCAGGTGGCAGAGCTTCGCCGAGCGCAGCGCCGCCGGGAGCGCCTCCGCCTGCCCGGAGGCGCCCAGCAGCTCCGCCAAGGGCGTCTGCGCCTGGACCTCGGCGATCGGGGCGGCTGGATTTGATGGGCGATTGCGAGTGAAGGATTGTTGGGGTGAGAACCATTTTGCAGAATCGGCGCCCACCCCCGCCCAGCCCCACCCTCCCCACCCACCCCCACCCAGCACCCCCACCCATCCCCAACCCATCCCCAACCCACCCCCAACCCCCACCCAGCCCCACATCGGATGGGTCTGGTTTTGGTCAAGGTGCGAGTCAAGGAACCCAACAAAACCCCACCTGGTATGGGGCGGGTTGCCTTTTTGAGGGTACCATTTTCATTGGGGCAAGCACACCAAAGGCTATAAAAAATGCGTTGGGCCTTTGTTTGACAGGCGAACTAAACAGAAGGGGGATTCGCGGCGAAAGAACGTTTTCAGTTTGTAATAAAAAATCCAGGGGCAAACTTAACCAAATGAGTTTGTATACCCAAATCATAACAGGCCTGTAATAAAAATGCCATCCCAGAAAATTATAAATCATTAGAAGGGGGGGAGTTCGGGCGCCAGAAAACGGTGCTTGTCGTGATAGAAACAATCCGTCTGTCATCATCTAGCTTCTTATGTTGCACTCTAGGGGGGGGGGGGGTCCAGACTTGAAGCCATAGGAAGAGAAGCCATTGCTGTCCCATGGGCCACCAGGTGACCAGACTCCGAATCAGTAGCGGAGAAAAGGCAGACCCTCAGATGGAGGATCTGAAAGAATCCAATATTGACAGGCCATAGGAGGAGCAGTGGGAAAGGCTGTGATTTGGGTGGCTCTAAATGGCCAACAAGCACTATTAGCGTCTAGTAGAGACTTTTAAGCTGCAATGGCTCCCCTTGTTATGGCGCGGAATTAGGGGTCCTCCAAAAATGTGTGTTCTTTCCTGGCACACTACATATGGGTGTGGCTTTTTTAGGAACCCAAAATGCTGGTTGTCCTGTTGGTGCCGCAAAAGAGGGGTACCCTCAAAAAGGACAGCCATTTATGGAACAGAAACAGAAGCATAAAACTGGGCTGTCCTCAACCCCCCCGCTAAACGTTAAACTTTAGTGGGTTAAATGAAAACTACCGCTAAAAAGATAAAGCAGCTAAGGAGATAACCGGGAACCACCAAGCGGTCTCTCTCCATGTCCCGGCCAAGCTGCCGCAGCTTTCCCGGCCGATCCAAAAGAGCCCAAGGAGAGACCTCGGTGCCACGCCAGCATCCAAAATGGTTGCCACCACCCCTCAAACTCCACTCCCAGCACTTTCAGGAAAAAACGGGCATAGGTGTCCTTTTGTGAAAATACATGGCCCTAGTGAATGCAATAAAAACAACCCAAACCAGTGCCATCTATTTCTAACCAACATAACCTAAAAAGGACACCTATGGTTGATGTCTTTTGTGTAGTGGATACATACATATATATATATATGGGTTTCGTGGGACATACAACACTATAGCCACGTTATTGGGATATATTCCCTGGCTTGCCTGCGGGTAGTCATTTGGGGTAGCACTCACCAGAATGTGCCATGGTCAAATCTCCTGACGTGGGTCATGGCCAAGGGGATCAGATAATCAGTGATAATGTCCCACATGTCCCACCCCAAAAACCCCAAGCCCCACAGACACCCCCACCTTTCTGTTGGGTGATATTTGTCCATCTTTCCAACCCAACACCCCATGTCCCACATTGTCTCATGTCTTCTCGATCTAGTTTGGGTTGGTCTTCCCTGCCGAAAGGCCTTCCAAAAAACCCATTAGCCATTGAAAGGCCCGGTTTTCCCCGGTAATTCTCACCGAAGTGGGGGAACAAATCAACTTCAGAGTGGGGAAAAAACAAAAAAAACACCTGCAGAGTGGGGAACCAGAAGCCCAACTTGTTCCCACAACAACCGGGTTTCCTGGACCCAGGCGCCACGTTCCCGCGAGAAAAAACAAACAAAAACGAGGCGCAAAGGTGGATGCAGTCCTCCAGCAGCGCCCGCAGCTGCCGCGCCGCCTCCAAAGACTCGCTGCGCTGCAGCTCCCGCTGCAGCTCCTGACGAGCGAGCTGCGATCCGACGATCCGACGCGAGGGGTCCAGCTGGTCTTTGCGGGTGTTTCTAGGGGTTGATTCCCCATTCTAGGTGGAGATTCATGGGGAGTCATGTCCACCAACCGCTTTTGAGGTGGTTCCCTATTAAAATTCATGGCCATATATCTAGGGGTTGATGCCTTGCCCATTCTTTTCAGCCATCGTTCTTTTCCAAAAACCGGATCTGTTTTTCCTGGGTTTCCGGATGGACACTGGACTCCTCCTCCACTAGGTTCTTGAGTAGAGAGGATAGAGTAAGGGTACCCGATTTGTGTTTTTCTGTAGTTTATTTTAGTAGGGAATCCTCCCCCCAAAAAGGGTGAAAAAGGGCCCTACTAGGGACCTAGTCCCTCTTGACTTGTCATTCTCGCTCATCCTGATGATTCATTCTTCTAGGTTTCCCAAAAAATACCCTCGTGTCACCAGCTTCCCCACAATTGGTGGATTGGATTGGTGGTTTGGGTGTTTGGGGGGAACAAGAACCCGGGGTTCAACGCGGGACCCAACCACAAATCGAAAGCACCAAGGGCGTCCTGACAATCATGGTTGTGGTAATAACCTTTTCTGCGATACCAAAATAGGATCCCCCCCCGAGGTTCTTGAGTAGAGAGGGCAGAATAAGGATAAGGCTACCCACTTTTTTCCGTAGTCTATTTTAGCAGGAGAACCCTCCCAACCAAAAAAGGGGTGCACCTGGCTGGGGGACCTAGAATCGGGGGATTATCTTGGCGCCATTTCCCATATCAAACTTTGTCAAGGTGCATTTAGGGGGGATCCTCCCGTATCCCTGGATTCCCCTGTATCCCTGCTGGTTTCCCTGAATGAGTGGCTTTGGAAACCATTCGAAACCGTGGTTTGTTGGTATTTACAGGGAACTCATCAGAAACCAGGGCTTCGTAGGTGGTGGCGAAATGAATTTCGTCACCCTCCACACTAGCATAACCAAAACACTCCCACGGCTTGAGGCCTGAGGCGGTCCTCCGCCATGCCAAAGGGCAGCGGCTCCTGCGGCAGCTTCTGCCGCAGGATCGCCAAGCGCCCGGAGTCCTCGCACCGCGGCTTCGAAACGCGGCTTCGGCCGAGGTCGGCGGAGTCATGCGAATTCCTTCTCTGGTCTTGGGGGATGACGTCCATCCCTGACTCAAAGACGAGTTTTGTTTTTGTTTACGACTTCATTGGCAACTCCCCGTGAAAACGCTTCCTGCATGAGAACCGGTAGCCTCGGCAAATGTTGCAAGATGTCCAAAACCTGAAATAAGGAATCCCCAAGTAAAGGATATGTACCATGGTGAGCTCGTTTTACCCCCGGCTGGGTGAGCTCGCCATAAACTCTGCAGATAGATGGCACTGGTCAATGCTTAGAAGCAAACTGTTCACCGAAGTGACCTGAGCCCCTGACCAAATCCCTGGTTCCCCACAAGGACCTGGGAAATTTGTGATTTCCCCCTTGCGCCACTTGTCTGTTCTACTACACCCCAGCATACGCGTGAGTGTAGCAGGTGGAAACTCTCACTACAAAAGAAAGAAGAGGTGAAACCCGCATGCATCTGACAAGTGATCGCTCCGCCAACCTTATCTTGGACCCCTTTCTATGTTCTCCCCAAGTGAACAATCGATCGACTACCAAAATTATTTTGTCCAGGGCTGTGGGGAATGACCACTTCTGTGATACAGCAAAACGGGCTTCCCAAAGACTATTTTGTTAATAGAAAGGGGGATTCCCTTGTATCACAGAAGGGGGGAGAAACCCCGAGTGATCCCACAACAAAAATTATATTGTCAGTTGCCCCACGCTGAAAAACGGGAAACTTGTCCCCCCCCACTCCGCCGCGGCCTTCAGCTCCCCGCCGAAGCGGAAGTGCCGCAGCTGCACCTCGCGCGAAGCGAAGCGGATATTTTTTTTCGACGGGGCGGTTGTAGCCACTCCCGGCTTGAGGCTTCGAACGCGGGTTTGTCTAAACAAGGCAGCACCCAAACATGTACAGTACCCAAACAAGCACGCTCCCACACTGGAGACAAATAAACGCGGGCTTGTCTAAACAAGGGAGCACCCAAGAACCCGAATACGGCGATCAGAAGACGTGCTTCTTTTTCCACCTGTGGTGGCCCTGCAGTAGGTCACATAGCCCCATGTGGGCCAGCATGTGATTGAAGATTTGAAAAAATGGTACCCAAACACAGCTCCCACACTGGCGCAAACATCTCGATGAAGAGAAGATTCAAAGCTGAGTGGGCTTGTGAAAGCTTCGTTCGGAGGGCTCTTAGCCAAAGCAGGAGACCACCCGGCCCAATTTGCCATGTCCCCTTCTGGGAGAGAAGTAATCGATGATTCATGGAAGCCAATGAAAGAAACACGGGCATGCGTGTCCGAGTCATGTCCATTTTCGGACGATATTTCTCTGTTGCTTGTGAAGGGAAGTCTGGCCAACACAATTTCCCAAAACCAACCATTTGACCGTTTGATGTTCTGTTGTTTGATTTCTAACCTAGACCACAAACAGTAATCATTTCTGTCCGGGTCTTTCAGCCACCATTTAGATGATCATTTTGAGGATGTCACTTTGCTGGACCCAGGCAGATTGACTCAAGTACCACATCTTGCACACGCCATGTCACCATGTCACCAAGAATGTGAGGATTGCTCCGAAGACGTCAGAGTAGAAGGTTGGTCGGAAGCAAGGATTGCAGACCGGTGTTGCCAGTTTTCCAGCCGTACCTTCCCTGCCCATTCTCGAGATTCTCTGAAAGTGGGCAAACCCTGCAAAAAAAAAAAATCTAAAGAAAAGCGTGGGGGCAAAAAAGCGTCTAAAGAAAGCGTGGGGCGACAATAGAAGTGAAGTGAATCGGGACACTCTGAGTTTCCCGAGGCGTGTTTTAGGCAGTCTCCAGGAAAGCGGAGCACAATTTGACCCACAAACCTACTGCATTTTTTGGCCCCACTTAGAACCCCCCCCTCCCCCCGCAAGTGATCTTTTTGCTAACGGCAAATGCAGGACACCTTCAAAAGGGATTAAACAAAAGAAGTACAAAGGTTAGACACGTCTGGCAATGATTGGTATCTGGGAGAGGGGGGTGTCACGTTGCAATGGTTAGCTGAGATGGGAGCCCGATACAATGTTGGAGCACACGGAGTTTCCCGGCACAACCTGCTTCCCTTGGACTCGGTAAAGGCTTCCCTTTTTGCTGGAAGGAATATATATATATATATATATGTATATATATATATGTGTATTATATATATATATGTAGGAGTTTCCCCTGTCGACTTCAAATGATATACATTTATATATGTATTATATATATATGATATTTGTGTGCTTTTTCCCCTGTTGGTTTTAAAGGGAGTCGATTTCACTAATTGCTGTTTGTTTTCTCGGAATTTGTGTTGAATTGTTCCCTGTCGGTTTCAAAGGGAATCGATTTCACCACAATGGGCGACAAACAACGCAACTGGAGAAAGCCTTGTCCCCTTTCGGTCCCATGTTGAGTGGCCCCCATTCCGGTGATCACCTGGAACATGTTTGTCTTTGGACTGAGTTTGTTTCAGGGTTCTTGCCTCTTCAGAGATTCAGAACCTTGGTTTTACCAATACTTCCCCTCTCTTGGCGCTTTTACACATGAGTTACTGAGTTGCTTGGCCGTGACTTGCCTTGCGTGTGGCAGGTTCTTATTGCTTTCGCCGGAGACCTGTTTGAGTGCATTGGGCAGCAGCCCGAGCACCCTTCGCCCCGTTCGCCCCGGCCCCGTCTCCGGCCTGGATGCGCACGGCTCCCCGCAGGCGCCGAGCCAAGGCCTCCTCGAGGCCGGCCTTGCATGCCCCCGCTGGGTAGGCGAACCGACGGGAGTCTAAGTCTCGCCTCTGGGTCGAGTTTGAGTCCCAGAAAGGTCGACTTTAGGTCCCAAAAAGGTCGATTTGAAGTCCCGAAAGGTCGATTGTGGGTCCTAGGTGATTGGTTCTCCCATTTGGGTCTTTAATTAGGGCCTGAAAAAGCGAATCACCTTGGTGTGGTGTGAAACAGGTTGGTAGTTTCAAACCGACTTCTAGGTTGGTCAAAATGGGACAGATCCCTAATCCTAATCCAGATTAGAGCGGGCAGCCACCACCACACGCGAAACCAATAATTTCTGGCATGAGGTTTCAATTTGATCAACCCAGTTTGAGAAAGGATTGGTTTTGACGGTTTTGTGTACTTCTTATCAAGCCCACCTACCTTCACTTCAATCATCTGACAAGATCTGGTGGACTTTCCCATTTGGAGAAATAACCCCGTCCACTTCCGTCAATTGATCAACCTTCGGATTTCCGGTGCACAAACACCTGGTGCTTAGGGCTGCCTGGTGGTATCTGTGAGAATGCTAGTGATAGGAAAACAGTGGAAATTTGTTGAAGAACCCGCGAAACCAGACGCTGGCTCGGATGTCCCTGGTGCTATCTGGGTGAGGTTAACTGCCCTTTCCTTGCCTTTCGGTGAGCCTCGTCCGTGCACGGTCAGCTGTGTTTAAAGGGTGGGGGAGGGGTATAGGCAAGATCAGAATGCTGTCATCACCTGTACAAATCTCCTCTAGGTTCTTGCGTAGAGAGGTTAGAACAAGGGTCTCATAAAAGCAACTCTTCATGGGTCATGCAAGGGTTGGTAACCCTCAATGGCCCAGACTTGTTCTGCATGGTCCCCTCAACATTCCCTCCCCCCAAACTTTCACCTCGACACACACGGGTGTACACATGGGTGTGTGTGTGTGTCATTGTGAGGGTACCCTTTTTGCAGGTTGGTCCAAAGGAACACCACATATTTGTCTTTTGGCAAGTAACCCTCACTTCCGAATGGGAATGTGGTGCGTGTGCCGTGTCATCTCCTTACTACACGCCAGGGAATACATATTTGGGTGCATCCTTTTCAGGGGATCCACCAAAATGGGGTTGGCCTTTTTGGTTTCCCTTTCATTTCCTCAAAACCGGGGTACGCTCATGAAAAGGCACACCCATTTGTTGTTCATACTGTGGATGGTTGCGAAATCCTGCACCTAAGAAACCCTGGTTTCTGATGATTCCCCTGTAAATACCACTAAACATAGGTGTCCTTTTAGGGGAAATAGATGGCCCTGGTAGATCATGAAACCACCAGGCAAACCAGGGCCCTCTATTTTTCTAGCACAACAACCAAAAAGGACACCTATGCAAACGTTATGGTTTCAACCATGGTTTCGTTTCAAGTGATGCGATGTCCGGATTTCTTTGTAGTGCACAGCATCCCTTTTGGACCTTGCGCCGGGCGGCCAAGTCGTAGTCCAAGCCATTGCTCAAGTCATCCCGGTACTGATGCAGCAGCGGCAGCAGGTCTGCCTGCAGGTCCTCGGGAGAATCCACCCGTCTACGAAATGGAGGCTCCCTGGTTTTTCCCCTATTAAATAACCATCACCCCAAAGAAGATCCCCTTTCAAAGGCCAAAAAAGGTGATGTCTCAAATCATCAAAAAGGGAAACATAGGGAACCCACAAGTTTCCCGCATTTTACCAACAATACTTCCACCAAGAATCAAAAGCAACTCTACTTCTCACCACTTCTTTTGCACAATAAGCATCTCATGTTCAGGAACATTTGGTTAAGGCATCTCTTTACTTACAGAAAGGGAATTGTACCTTCTACTTTCACCCTGGTGTAGAAGCGAGGGCACCTTGCTGGTTGCACAGGACTTCCTTTACCCACCAAGGGAAAAGTGATCCGTGGTTGCAGCTCATGGTAAAAACCGGACCAAACCTTGATGATGGGGCTTGTTCTAGGTGAGCTCGCCATGATTGGCCCAAATTCTACCAGGCTGCCACTTTCTTCGGTGGTTGGGACAAATGCCATGGATTTCAAGAAGCACGTTCCAACGGCAGGTATACGGCCCCCATGTACATGGGGTCCACGAAAGGGTGAATTTCCCTTCAAGATGGAAATCTGCAGAAGCTTGCTTTGAAAGGAAAATGGTCCAAACCAGGAATTCCCAACCAGGTTAGCTCCTCAATAACTTTCATGTGTTGATGTAGGCTGAGAAGCTACGCCTTCCATCAAAAGCGGGTACACCATGTGGGTTGTTTCTGGAAATGAGCTGGACCAAATTCGGGCGCCGTCCTTCAACGCCCAATCAATAAGGCCAAGGGGTGCCTTTTTGGAGCCGGCGCCGCTTTTCCGCTTTTCTTCTTGGAACCATCCCGAAGATTCAACTCAAACCGCCCAACTGGGCGGCCAAAAGCTCACAAGGCAAACTCCTGCGAAGCGTTCCAACCACAACGGGTTACCCCCTTTCTCTTGGTCGTTGGAAGGGATCAACAAATGAGAAAAAAAATAGCAGTTAAGTGGCTGGATTTCAACCACTATAAACCACAATTTGCAAAAATGTAAAAACATGTTTCCCAACAACAACCATGTTCTGGGTTGTTCAACATGTGGGATCGATTCCCAATTTGCGTAGTTCCAACTTCGAATGCAAACAAGGCTTCGGTGAAGCAACCGATTGAGCTCTGATTTTTTCTGCAGTTGAAACACCCGCACTGTAGGGGTTACACTGCCTCATTCCAAAGGGAAGGTCAATGACATCAACCGAGCCTCACTAACCCTGGGCTGCCCTCAGATCCCCCGCTAAAAGTTTAACGTTTAGTGGGTTAAATGAAAACTACCACTAAACACTAGAAGGGCTAAAAAGCTAAGGGGATGGCTGGGGGCCACCAAGTAACTATGGACAAAAATCTGAGATCCCGTCAATTCGCCCAAGGACCTTAAGGTTTGAAGCCATTGGGGTCATAACCCCAAACAGGTACACGCCATCGATTTCCACAACTCAGCATGCCGTGAAACTACCCGTGTTCTTCACCAATCATCCCCGGACCAAGTCTGCTGGAGTATCCCGACCATTCTACCAGTCATCTCGGTGTTTCATCGCGCTTTCACAAACCGTCCGCACTACGTCGTTGCCTTTCGATTTGGCTGTGGGCCAAAACCAACGGGATCCCATTTTGGGGTATGTGCACCACCCATGTTTGAACCTATTTAGTGCTTGGATTGAATCGGATGTTCACTTGGGGGTGCGATTTGGCTTTCGACCCATGGCAATTTGTCCGAGGCGCCAGAGACGCCAACAAGGCGCTGCAGGCCTTGGGCGCTGTGCTCGAGGAGAGTGGCACTGTCCGGTCTCCCGGGTCCAAGGCCTCGAGGCTGTGGTGGTCAAAAAATCACCCCAAAATGGCTTGCCTTGGCAAATGGCTGTGGTTGTCAGAACCGTTTTGGGATCCCATTTTGGTGGGCAGGTGGATTCACCACCCATTTCAGGACCTATTTAGTGCTTGGATTGGGATGTTCACTGAGGGTACGGGATTTTGACCCGTGGCCAAATGGAAACAAAGACTAAAACCTGCGGTCCAATTCCTGGTGGTTTGATTTGACCCACACCCGCTTGTGTCCTTGCGAAAATTGCGCCCCCAACCTAGAAAAAATGTGTAGGTTCTTGAGTAGAGAGGTTAGCATTAGGGTACCAACTTTTTCTGTAGCCAATTTTAGCAGGGGAACCCTCCCCAAAAAAAGGGGAGAGAAGGGCACTACTGGGGGACCTAGATGTGTAGAGTGTAGAGGCTCGGAACTGGGCAACAACCATTGTTTTTGAACCACCAAACCTTGCCACCTGTTCAAACCAGAACCAAACGCGGGCTGTCTCAACGGGGGCCCAAACCTCGCGGTCCGGCGAGGATCACGCGCAAAACTAGGTTCTTGAGTAGAGAGGTTAGAATAAGGGCCACCAACTTTTTCCTGTAGTCTAGGGAACCCTCCCAACCAAGAAAAGGGGAGAGAAGGGCACCACTGGGGGACCTAGAACAAATGCCCGCACCAAGGCCCGGCGAATCTGCCTCCACCAAGTCGTTCTGCGCCGTCTGCAGCACATTCGCCAGCTGCACGGTGCACAGGGAGGGCGCCTGCCAGTAACTTTTTTTAAGCGAAGCGGCGGCCATTCATTGGGCTCTGTCCTAACCCCCGCCCCAAGAAAACGAAAGAAACAACAACAAACAAACAGCTGTTTTGGCGCAGGTTGGTAGTTTCTCTGAGGGGGGTGTACCCCAACTTATAAAAGAATGCCAAAACAAACAGTCCCAAGCTGTGCCAACTTGGCTGGAAGGTTTTCCAATAACAAGGGCAACCGTTGTTGCTCGTTTGCTGGGTTGTTCCAAAAGTTCAACATGACAGAGAATCCGACTTTCCACAATCGCAAAGGGAAGACCACCGCAAGCCCCTCAAGGAAAGGATTCAGGATCTGGAAGATCCCTGTGTGGACTCCCTCACCGATCCGCCTTTGGTTTTCAGGCCCGTTTTGGGTGGGGAGGTGCACTTACTTCCATCTCCTACTTCTCACGATTCCCCTTGAGCTAGACAGCCCTAATCATGGTCCAAGCAGCGCCTAATCCCGTTTAGTTTCGGATCCTAACATGGTGATAAAAGGTCCAAACTAGGAACCCTCACATTCTTGGGAGAATAGTCCATACACCTGCATGTCGAAGCCGTAAATTTGTAAATTTTAAGGAATGGACACAAAAGGGATCTCAGGCAATGGCTGAAACTTGAAAGGGCAACGAGATTTGGTGCCAGTATCCATTTGCTTAAGTTCCCCGGGAAAACAATATGTGTCCAGTATTGATAGCTTCCCACTGTAAAACCAAGGGGGAAAACTCTCGAGCAATTGGACTGATGTCTGCACCAGAGCAGGACGAGTGTGTAATGTTGACCTCCGATCTAAGTAGGACCTGTCGGATTCATAGCGACGAAGCAACCCACGAAAGTAAAGGATTCCCCTCCAAAATATGGGACACTCACCATCACGCAATTGGGTGCCTTTTCATGGGTCAACATTACGTCACTTTCAACTCTCGAATGAACGGACCCAACCGACCAAACCTTCATCATTTCTTGGAAGGAAGCAAAGAGCATGAGCGGACAATCCACCAAATCCTTACGGCTTGGCACGCAGTAGGTCGGGAATCCAATGATCTTTCGTGGCTAGTACCCGATTCAAGTTGTCGGTTGAGTTGCAATTGCGCCTTTTTGCCCGCTGCATTCCATGGGATATGTTTTAAGGTTCAATCCTAAGCCGAAGATTTAAAGCGTTTTTTTGGTTCATCAAATTGGTCAAGGGCAAAGATGCAACATGGCCCCAAAGGTCGACCCCAATGTAAAACCCCTCTCCACCGCATTTCAGCATGCCCAAAGGAACCCATCGGACTCTGCCTCCGTCTCCCCAGCTTGCGCCACATAAGGCAGCGAAAAGATCACGGGCGTATCTGGCGTCCTCAGCGAGGCATGCCCCATCCGCCCGACAAATGTCGAACCACAGGGGTGTGTCCTAAACCTAAGGGCTCACAAACGCTTTGGCGAGGGTTGGAAAACGGCGTTGACTCGGGTGTGTTGGACCCTCAGCGTCCGAGAATCACGGATTGTTCAAATGTCATTCCTTTGTTGGTATCCCTTTAAACACCAATCAAAAGTCGTCCCTCTCCAAGACGCATTCATGCATCACACCAGCTCTGGGCTCACTGATCGAGTCAGAGACCGCTGGCTCGCTCCAATCCGAGCGAGTGGCATGGCCCCTGGGAGGTTCACTTCCCCCTTCACCAGGAAGGGGTTGGCCTCGCACTCGAAGAGGCCTCAAGCCGACGGACCGAGCGAGCAGAAGCCGCAAGCGAACGACTGGCGCGAGCTGCGAGCGGTCGGGATTGGAACCAAGGATGTGGTTTGAAGGCATGGAAGTAATCCGAAGAGCCTGGAATTGGTGGAACTTATTTGGACGAACATCTAGCAAAAAAGGCCGATGGAATATGGCAAAGGATCGACTATTAACAGCGGCAGAATCGAGATGAGGGCCGGGAGCCCCTCAATTGCTTTCTTTCAAAGCCAAGCACCCGGATTCGACGCTACCAGGCCTCAAATGGGTAGGTCTGTTCAGGCAACGACCCCAGGAACCCTGACTTTGAACACCCTCTAGCATGGGCATGCGCCAAACTTCAAATCCCGGAGAATGGACTTCCAAGGGGTCTGAGGGGCTATTCCACTATTCTAGGAACCCGGAAAGCTTCACAGGCACCTTCCAAAAAGACATTCAATATTGTAGAGCCGTGGCAGGCGCCGTGGCTGCAAATTTGCTCTCGGGTATGTTGAAGCCATGTTGCGACCAACTGGTCAACTGGTCAGCGAAAGGAAACTCCAAAGGGTGCTCCAACCATGTGAGCGCCGGAAAGCCGAAAACAATTCACTGAGGGTTCTGCTGACATGCTCTTTATTGCAAATTCCCACACAGTCCATGTACCTAGAGTCTCCATGACCCCTTTTGAAATGGGAGTCATTACCCTACATAATGGGGTCATGGACCTATTTTTAAAGGGTCATGGAGACAGCCCAACACTTGGGCATCATTTGGAGACGAGTTGGTGTCTTTGTGGGCAACAAGAAACGACACCTAGGTCCTCCGGTAGAGGGGTTAGAAGAAGGGTACCTTTTGTTTCTGTAGTCTGTTTTAGTTGGGGAACCCTCCCCAAAGGGGTGAGCAAGGGCACCTAGCTCGGGGACCTAGTTAAGGACACCTTCTTCGGCCGAAAGGCGCTCCACCAAGGGGAAGGCCCGATTAAAGTGTTCGCAGAAGCTCTGCAGCCGTTTCGTGGCCTCCGGCCGACGGTGCTCTGGCAGCCTGGAGCATCCGACCGAAGAGGAAGCCAATGGTAAAACGATCGACTTGGGCCAAGGACGACCCGTTGAGCCCCAGAAAATACCCCGCCTAGGTTCTTGAGTAGAGTGGTTAGAAGAAGGGTACCTGGAGTCTCCATGACCCTTTAAAATTAGGTCCATGACCCCCATTATTTAGGGTAGTGACCCCATGTTTAAAGGGTCATGGAGACTCTAGGTTCTCACTGGGTTGCCCTCAGATCCCGTGCTAAGAGTGACTAAGTTTGAGTGGGTCAAATGGAAACTACACCTAAACACCAAAATACTGAAAAGCTAAGGGGATGGCTGGGAGCCACGAAGCTTTCATTGCTTTTTGTTGTTTTTAAATGAAAGCCCAAGGCATGTCACGGCTTTTTTTTTCAGCACCTGGAAATTAAAGGCAATCACCTTTTGGGGGGCGAGACAAATAAGGACCATAAACCAAAACTTCAGATCCCGTCGATGCGCTGCTCGCCATTTGGCACCGCTTCAGACCCCGCCTCTCGATGGCCTCGCGGTGCGTGAGTTGTCGAGCATCCTCTCCTGAGCTTGAAACTCCGTTTCCCCTCGCAACTGGGTCTCCCAAATCAAAAAGTCCAAACCCATCTGGTACTGGTAGGTCTTGCAAACAAGTAGATCACAAGGTCTGCCACAAAAGAAGCTTGTCACGACTTGGCCGTCCAACACGAACTACGCATGCTTAGTAGTTTGCCTTCATGAACCACTCATCTCCTGTTAATAGTCTAAAACTTTCAGTGGTCTAGTGGAACCTACCGTTTTAAACCAACCAAAAACAACCAAAAACAACTAGAAAACACTAAAAGCCACTAAACAAAACTACAAACCACTAAAACACTTGGGAACATACTTTCACCGGATGGCTTGGAACTGCCAAGTTTACGTCCATTGGCTCGATGTTCTGCTATCCGAGACACTCGTCAAGGCATAATCCTCGAAGGCCTGGCGCTTTCTTTCGCCCAGATGCCATGTCATCTTGCCTCGCTGTTTTGTTGAGTCGGATTTTTCCAACATGGCACGACGGCTTTAACACCACCAAAAAAGGGGGGTGCCATCAAAAATGGGGGTTGCCAGCGGCGTTCCTTTTGGTTGTTTTGGGCAAAAATAAGGGGTGCCATCAGAGAAATCACACATTCATGTGGCCCCTTTTTGTTCGCTTTTTAAAGGAGCCAAAAAAGAACCAACCATTTGCTTTTTATCTTGATACATACCCTATTCATTTGGCTTACCGGTCAGTAGGGAATGATTCGGTTTTGGGAATTAATCGTTTGACCGAATGCAAATGCACTGAAGAAAATGTCTAAAGAACACCATCAGTTGGATGGCTCTTGGGGGCCTTGTCTTGAAACATGGCATCTGGGAACAACTGAACATTGTCCTTGTCATCTTTGTCATCATTCCATACTAACCAAGTATATTCAATGAGTACTATTGTTTAAAATATGGTTAGTATACTGGGCAGTTCTCAGATCCCCTTTAAACGGCAACCCCCACTAAACCCTAAACACCAAAACACGGCAACAGGTAGTATTACTGTCTTAGCAGTTTTTACTGCCACCAAACTCAACATCCCAAAAAGTTTCAAGTTCAGGACAGGGAGTGAGAGTAGTACTAAAACACATCTTGCTGGTGCATGAGTAGGGAATGAGGCAATGAACCCAAGGGTCCCCGGAAAGGAAACCACCAGCTGGATGGTTTTTCTTGGGGCCGTTCCATTCTCATTCCCTCCCGTTTTTTCCTGATGCGTTGCCTCGAAGAGTACCGCGTGCCAGGCCAGAAGCGCAGGCAGCGCCGGCAGCGCCCCGAGGCGCCTGGATCTTTGGACTCGTTGGCTACGAACTTCGAACACATGGGATCTCGAAATGGCTTTGTGACGTTCTTTTGGGGGGGGCCTCCAAAATGATCGAGTCTCCTTTGGTTTCCCTTCAAAACCACACAAAAATTTGGTGCCCTCAAAAAAGCGCACACACAAATGGGATTCGGACTCCCTTTAGCATTTGAAGGGAAAGGAAACCAACCATGTGAGGTGACCGATTCCTTCTTTGAGATCCCCCAAATGTGTTCCTTTCAGACCTCGGAGGGAACCTGCATTTTTGTTGTATTTTTTCTTTTGAGGGGTGGGGAAGGGAGTCAGCCCCTGTCCCCCCCTCCCCCACAAGGGTCATACACTGGACATGCTAACGGACCTTCAACTTGTGCGGCGGGTTGGGTCGATCACAACAAGTTTGCCTCCAAATGGGCAACCAAAATGGATGTGTTCACTTTGGCACAACCAAAAGGGCGACCTCTTCAAGAGAGGCTAGCCCACGGGAACCCTCATAAAAAGGGCACAAAAATCCTCTGTATTCGTGATGTCAGAACCCAAAGCAAGCTCTCCAAGAGATTCAGTCAATAAGAGCCTGATTCATAAGGGATCCTACGAGTGACACTGGCGAATGCGATTTTCAATATGGCCACACATGCATAATTAAACCTGGCTCTATGCCTGGCTTCCAGTCATAGTGTCAACGTCACCCCTACCAAGGGAAACTCACCTATGTGGGTATGGCTCAAAGTTAACGAGCTGGGGTTACGCGGGTTTTAGTCTTTGGTTCCACTTACCAAGGCGCCATTTTGGTACAGTTTTTTTGAGCCACAGCCATGTGTCAAAAAGGTGTTACGTTTAAATCGACCAAAAAGGGCACGCGTCGCTCGTCTCTCCCACCGCCTGCCTCCTCTGCTTCAAGACCACCGCGAGCACAGGGTGCGCCCTTCGATTCTCCAGCCCTCGGATTTTCGATTTTTCGGAAGACGGCGCGAGATCTCGGGCGCGTGCCCGCATTAAACCCCTGGTTGAGAAAAACACCGGGGGGGGGGGGGGGGGGTGGGGTCTTCTTTGGTGGGAATCCGGATCTCACTTTTGTCGGATACACCTTCCCGGCCCAGTCTGGGGCTTACTGATCCAGGGTCAACAATCGGACTTTTCTCAGCTCCCTCTACGTCACTACGTTGATTTGGACTTAGCTTGGGGCAGCTTCCCTCGAACGTTTCAATTCCGCGGAAACCGCACCAGAAGTTCACGGCTCCCGTTTCCCCGATGGCGACATAGGGACCCCGTCCCGTTTCCATTTTGTCACGGGGAGTCCTTGATTTCAGCGGCTCCCGAAGCCTGCTGTCCACAATCATGAGGCTTCTCTAACCCGAAAGAAGGGTAACACCCCCTCTGTCAGGTGCCCTGTTCCTGGGAGGAAGGGCAATTGAGTCACTGGCTCAAAACCCGGTATTAAAATGGTCTACCCAGAGCCATGCTTCAAGAATTTAAGAAGGCGGATTCCCGCAACTATTTCTGGCTGGGACTGCCCCTTGCTAACCACCATCTACCCGGGTTTTGATTGTGGCTCAATTGAAGCGAGAAAACAAAAGGCGATGGTCCAAAAGGAGAACCTCGCGTTTTTTTTTCTCCTCCGGGCGTCTGGACAAAAAGCTCTCCTCGAACTCCTCCAGCGTGACACAGGCTCGGCCATGCCAAAGGGCCGCCGGGAGCGCGGTCTCCTGCGAAGGTCGAAAGGGTGCGGATGTGTTGTTTTCCCGTTTTTGTTTTTTTTTTTTTTGGGGGGGGGAATTTCAACCAACGAAAAAAGAAACAAATCCACAAAAAATACCCCTCCATAAAGAATTGAGTTGCCGGGGAAAAACACGGTTTGCTGCCTTTGATAACCCCACAGAACAGTCGAAATAATGACCCTAGCCAGTAGGGTAATGGTCTGGGAAAAAAAGAGCGGTTGCTCTTCCCCCGGAGCAACATGTTTATATAACCTTCGGTTCAATGGAAAGACCATTTGCTTACAAAAAAGGTCTAAGCACTGAACATCAAAAAGGTACAAACGGAACTCCACCATTCAGGAAACACCCACCTTGTGTACTCAAGCATATGACACTTTGTGCCTTAGAGCTGCTCTCCTCACGTCCCCCGCCCGGGTGGTGAAACCTTTGCACCCTGCCTCCGCTCTTCGCCAGTGTTTCAACACGCTGTCGTGAACCGGTGGGGTAGCCCAATTCCAGTTTATCTGGGTGAATTAGAATAGTTCACCAACCTGAAATAAGGTTGGGCGGCTATTCCCCACATAAACCACCATTTTGGGGTGAGGTTGTGTGAGGTCGTTAGAATTCAGAGTTTATCTGCGAAAAGTGTTGCTCAGATTGAAGATGGAACCCACCCAGGTGCTAATGATGATCGCTGCCGCTATCCCAGTTGCCACTGTACGTAACCAGCCATGTTCGTTTTGGTTCGAGGGTGGTTCCCCTGATCCAAAAAAAGGAATGATGTCATGCAAATGAACTCAAATCCTTCCAGGTCTTGCCTTTGGTCCAACCTGCGCACAACAAAAGGACTCGAGGGTTTTGATATAACTTGGAGTTGCAACCACAGAGGGGCACAGCTTGCTGAAATTAATCAAGCTCTCACAGGTGTTCTTCCTCAAGTGCAAGCGTTCTAGCTCGCGACAGTTTACATGGGCATGTGTCAAACGGGGAACCCAAGACGGCTTCAGTTGTCCTTTTGGTTTCCCAGTACAAGGCCCTAAAAGCATCAGCATCAAACAAAAACACACCAAAGTGCTTGGCTCGGACGAAATTGCGCACGGCCGATTCGGATTCGGCTCCATTGTGTCGTAGACCGAAGGCTCCCATCGATCCTCAAGCGGGCCGTTGGAACATGGGCTCCCTACATGGGCTACAAACGGAAGGAAAGAAGCCCGCACAATGACCATGCAGTCCGGAGCAAACTTCTTGGGGTTCATTCCCCATTATTTTCAACCATCGTTCTTTTCAACCATCGTTCTTTTCAAAAACCAGCTGTCTCCCCTGCGTTCGAAGAGTCCCCTAGAAAACCGCTAGACAAATTGCTAGCGACCCTTCGTCCTGCGTGACCTCGCTAGAGTTTGCCCAAATGTAATATCAAAAATTCAAAGCCTCCACATATCTTGCCCGCGAATGAGTGTTGACGCAGGAGAGTCTTGTCAGACAGAGCAATAAGCGCTGGTATGGATAGCGGTGCCTTTCAAGGTACCAAACAAAGGCAAGCATTCCAGGCATCCTGACACATGCATATAATTTGAACATGTATCAAACTCAGGAATCCCCTCTAAACGTTGGTTTATTGAATCCTTGAAAAGCTATCTGGGGCAAACCACTTTTGAAAACCTAGGGGAGTCTGAGTAAAAACTGAAACAAAGGTCACCGGGAACATAATGATGATGGACAATATCAGAGGTCGGCCATCCATACAGGTGTCACGTATTGAAGAACCCCCTTCTTTTGGGTGTTCCCTCAACAAGGACTCACCAATAGAACCTCAGCCTAAAACAAAAAATAGCCGGAAGAGGGGAGGGGTTGACTTCCTGACTTATTCGGCAAATGGCAAGCGAGCATCGGCAGCTACCAAACAACCACGCAACCAACAACCATTAAACCAACAAACCACGCACTTTTCAATCAGGTATACAACCTAGTCGGGCAAACAACCCAAACAACCAAGCAGCCGAACAACCAAACGACCAGCACACAAAAAATGAGCCAAGCACGCAAGCAACCACACAACCACCAAACAGCCACCAAGCCACCGAAAAACCAAAACCAACACAAAGCATCCCATTCAGCCAAAACCACCAGCACCCAAACAACACAACCAGCAAAACAAACAAGCACACATTCAAACAAGCAAAGCTTCTCACAACCAGTCATCAAGCAATCAGGCGACCCAAACACCCAAGCAGGGCGAGGCAAAACCCAAGTCCAGAGATCAAAGGCTTTCGACTGGGAGATCAACACACAACTTGCTGGGGCCCGGCTTGTTTTTTGTTTTGCGACCAGAACAGGATCTTCCTGGAAAGTATGCTGACGGGGACGACACCTGAAAAGCGAGCCTTGATGGTGCAAATCTTTGACCGAGCCCCCGCCGGAAGGCTCACGACTTTCAGACCAGCGAGTTGGGCGCCCAAAACCCCATGCGACCGTTGGCTCGATGAAGTCGAGGAGTTGATCAG